GGTTGGGGTGGATGCACGAATAAGAGTTTATATGAAAAATAATACAAATGATTAGTTATAACCTTAAGATAATTCACACTACAAACTACAAAGAGCACAGAAGAAGCTGAACAAACATAATTTATGGTTCCAAATTAAGCGAATAACAACATTACAGGGAGAACAGCTATGACTGGAAAAAATTGCTGAAAACTTAGCCAACTTTCACAACTTTCCAAAAACTTTACCCCACATTAAAAGCATATTACAAACAAATACTAACCCGAAATGATACCGAAACCTACCTTCTTCTTTCATAAATAATGAATCCAACTCTTTGAAGGGATCATCCTGTTTTCTGATATGCAGTAGTACGAGCATGAAATGCAGAATGCCCGTTTGATCCTCCAAGCAAATTTACTGATATAAATGGAGTGGCTTCTCCAGCTCCAGTTTCTCCAATGCTCAGTTTTGAGATTCCCAGAAGCTCATCCAGATTAATGGGAGATTGGGTATGTACAGGAGTTGGCTTCACAATTTCGTGAACCGGTTTTTCTTCTGCACAACCAAGCCGAGGAAGTGCTAACGAAAAAAATGGCGAGAAATAGGCTGGGTACATTACTGGATGGATGTGTTGTGATTCTGAAACTTCTGGCATCATGGAAGGTGTTTCCTCTTCCACTAAATTATTAGAATCCATTGATTCGCATTCCTCTTCCACAGGCGGATGCGCTGGAGTAGAACTGCAGGCCTGTGTTTCAGGTTCTTGAGAGTTAATGCGAAAGAGCTGAGTTTCTGCAGTCTGAAATAATAGGACAGGTTAAGATGTGATTTTGTTGAGTAGGAAAGATATATACGGTGCTTAAGGGCTAAAATATAAGAGAAATTTACTTGCGTAACACACACTAGTCTTAAGTATTTACATATTTCACAACTTAACTTTCATATTTACATAGCACTTTGTTATTTTAAACCTATGCAAGAAAATGTGTATTTCACTTTTAAAAACTTATAATAGTGCTATTTTGATGTGATATTAGAGATTTGAGTGCTTCGTGTGTAAATATGAAAATTTAGGTGTTAGATATGTAAAGACATTAGAATTGTGTGCCATGTATGTAAATGCCCAAAATATAAATATTTCAGGCTTAAAAAAGAGAAACTAGAAAAAGGATTAATGGGACTAACATCATCAGGTACAATATCGAAGAGACTAGTCCTTCGCTTCCTTCTAGTTGCATTAGTTTGGCGTATGAAATATTTCTGAGCATGGCTGGCCACTTGAGTTGGTGTCCTTGATACTACATAGTTTCGTGATATTCCTCGCCAGTCTCCTTTGCCAAGCTTTTGCAAACCGAGTAAGAAGAGCCGGTGCTCAGCTTCCGTCCATGGCACCCCTGCAAAATAATCATAAAACAGAACGAAACCCAAATAACTTTGAACAAGCAGATACAGCTGAAAACAATACGGTTCTAAAAAAGCATGAAATAAACTCATTCTTTTGATATGGCATTGCACTCATAGTTGTTTAGATTTGGAAACTAATCAAAGTAACAAGCAATAATAAACATCTCAATTAAGACAATCAAAATAACATAATTCTGAGTGCTGCTCAAGCAAGTGGGAGCATCTAGACTTGAAAATACATATGAATAAATCCATAGTAAAACACTACCTAGATAATGAAAGGATCTGTTGATTATGATCTTGAATCTTAAAATCAAAATTTCAATCCATCCAATTATGACTAATGACCTCTTAACAATCCAAGTTTTGATGAACAAGTAAAACTATATGCTAAAAAAAATCTAATTTCACCAGAAACACCTACATCTGACCCAAAATTGATCCGACTTAAAACTGCTTGAACTAAAGACGAACCAAAATATTAAACGGGTTAGAAAGTTCAACCCGAACCCCACCAGCCATCAACCCGTTGACCAAAACTTGACCTGTCTAACCCATTGAACATAAGAAATAACAACTACTCAGATCAAATTCAACTCAGTATCGGTTTAATTTCAAGTTTACAGGTTGATTTCAGGTTAGGATGTCAATTTCGGGCTAATTTCGACTTGGCGGTCAACCTAAAACCGACTTGAAAATTTAAACGGGTTAGGATGCCAAATCTGACCATACCCAACTCAGTTTATTCTGGACAGCCTGAACATGAATTTTTGGAATCAAGTTCCAGATAAATTTTTAACACCACAAATACATCCATAAGATACTTTGTTGCTGAAAAAAGAAAAAAAAATTATGAAAGCTGAGAAATTTTGGGGAAAATGGCAACAACATCCAAAAAAAAGAAACAAAAATATAATTTACCACAACAGAATGATCTCTAGTTTTGATTCAAAAACATGGTGAATAGAACAGATTAATAGAAATATCAATATCTTATCGCCTGCATGGAGAACAAAGCATTTAATCATTTATAACATGAGGGAAGCAAACTTAAATAATGCAAAGCAAGTTGGTAAAAGAATCTGAACAAATATACGAGTCATTTGACACTAAAAATAACAAATTATCAATAACCGGTCCTATAAATTTCTCACCCAGGAGCGAAACTTGGATTTTATTAGATTTCCACAAACCTTGGGCAAGGAGCGGGCAGATTAAGATTTTGTTTGGGGCAACTTCAACTTATCCAGCTTATTCAGATAAGCAGCTTATCCTGATAAGTTGTTGATCAACAGTTGATTATTAAGGTTTTGTTTGGGGCAGTTTCAACTTATCCAGCTTATTCAGATAAACAGCTTATCCTGATAAGTTGTTGATCAACAGTTGATCCGGATAAGCTGACTGACTATTTGATTTGTGTTGATGCATTTGGAAAATAGTTGATTTGCAACTATTTTTGAATAAATGACCATTCTGCCCATATGCAGTATTTCTATTAATGATGGATAAATGACCATTATGGATAATCACATAATTTATACAAGTACGAAAATAAATACTCTCTTGATTATTTTAAAATTAAAGTTTGAGTCCTCTATGGGACTATTTCCATCACAATTTAAAGAATTTGTGAACTATTTTAACACTTTTATAAATTATTGAACAAGAACAATGACATATAAATTACTTAATAAAAATAAAATTTTGAAGGTATATTATGAGTGTCGTAGTTCAAAATTTTGAAATTATATCAAATTACATTAAATTTCAAACTATTTTATTATTTTTAGGTGGGGAGAAGCCTCGGGGGCATTTGCATACATACCAACCAATTCTAAGTTATTTGTATATTTAAAATCTTAATTTTACAGATAAATTTTTAACACCCCAAATACATCCATAAGATACTTTGTTGCTAAAAAACGAAAAAAAAAATTATGAAAACTGAGAAATTTTGGGGAATGGCACCAACATCCAAAAAAAAGGAACAAAAATATAATTTACCACAACAGAATGATCTCTTCTTCCCTTTTCTTCTCCTTTTTTTTTTAATTTTCCTGCTCCATCCTTTTCCTCTCCCTGCTCGCTCTGCATAAAGGAAAGGAAAATGGGGAAGCGGAGCCTCAGCGTTATGAAGAAGCGGAGAGCAACAATCTTCTCCAAATCTTCGAGTGAGAGAGGCGAATGACGAATCGGATTGGAGATGAGTGGCATTGCAAATATGGGCAGCGCTGCAGATGGGGAGCTGAAGTTCTCCATCAAGAACCTCAGCGTCGAGAGAGACGAGCTAGAGGAAGCGAAGCGTCAAAATATTCCCTGAAACGCGGCCCGCGGGGTTTTACCCACTGCTTGCGTTTAATGTAAAATCTAAACGGTGTTTTTACGGCCGCTGCTTGAACGCTCGGTCCAAACATTACGGATGCGTTTTCAAAACGCCACCACAGGTGATAAACTGCCCCAAATGCACCCTAAGAGGCTAAGCTTCTGCAAAAGAATATGGTGAGCAAGTTTCAAACTAAACAACTCTTTGCTAAAGTTGCGCAGCTGCAAAAGCAAGTTTCCTTCCTCATCCCTCTCATTAGCACAAAACTAACAAATAACAAAACCAACCGCACTTTGTTCCTCAAAGTACTTAACGAATACTTCATGGGGCAAAGCTATAGCCAGAATTCCCTTGGTAAAGATAGGATAATAAAGATTTTTTTATGAGCTTCATCACTTCACCTAAGATTTTAGATGAGTTTCATCTATTCACCTCTCCATCGACTCATGTTGAGTGCTATAAAATATTAACAATATTTCGCATTAATCCTTTTGCTCTATGTCTACACTACATTATATTTAGTCTCTCTTTAGCTTCCCAGTACCGCCAGATTATTTCTAACGAGTCGCCTTTTTGGTACATCATCTGCACTCAGGCATATAAGCTCGAACAACCTCATATCAATTTTTCAACTATTTTATCTTTAATGGGAACTACTATCATAATCTTGGTAATACAAACATTCTTATTCCATCGGTCCATCCTTTCTAATTAAAACTGCCATAAATACATCTTAACATTTCTGTTATTTTCATATTCAACTTGGTTGCACTAACGTCCTATCAATATGTTGGAATACTGAATACTAATAAAAAAATAAAAAATGTACCCTCTAAATTAATCGAAGGCACTTTAAAGTCAATAAAAAAGATCATCATAAATGACAACCTGACCAATCATTAACTCAAACTAAGGACAAACTTCAGATACAATGAAGCTTCAAAAATGCATCAGCCTATCATGCCATTCGCCATAATAAATAAATAGGCTGCTTTAGCCCTTTTTTTCTCTTCGTGGAGATTGCAAGCTCATCTAGAAGAATATGTACTCTTCCTAAAAAGATATTAAAAAAGAGAAGATGCGGCCACTATCACTAAAATCCTCTCTTCTCTTTACAATTACGCCTCTATAAGAAATTAAAAAAATCTCCAACCTCAAATCAATGACACTGTAATGTTGTAAAACTGTGTTGGATGAAATTGATGCTAGCAATGCATGTGATCCGTCAAGCTTCATACCAAATGCTGGCAATGCTTGTGATCCATCAGTCCAATTGGAAAAACTAGAGAAAGCAAGCATTGCCACTGAAGAAAGATACATCCAACCGGAACCTTGTCAAGGAGCATCAATTGCATTCTTGCTGCCCCTTTGTTGCTGATCCATCCTGTTGCCAACAAATCTCTTTCATTCCTGCGGCAGTATTTCTGCCCCTTCTTGCTACTATTGTGGACCTCTGCTTCCCATCTACTTCTTGATAAAGTTCCTGAAGATCACAAAAGCACAAAGAAGTTGACAACTCTTCTGATAAACACTGAAAAGTAGATCCAGACTAGATATTAAACCACGGTACATGTACATAACTTCCTTTGAATGTAAAATTTGATGTTCTCTCTCAAATTAAGGTGAGATCTTAGGACTTGGTACAGCAAACTTCACATATACGCCAATATGGTTATGTAATCCAGCAAATTGAACTTAGAGCATAGGACGGGCCTCGAAACTTCTTGTACACGAGGAGTGGTCCAAGCAAAATCTTTTATCCCATAGTTCATATTGCTTCTTTCTTATTTCATTACCAAGTGTTTCACAGTGTGTTTTTTCACGCTAGATTGAACTATCCACATGGAAAGTATATTCAATCTCTCTGAACTTATGCAGTTCCTTCAGATACAAAATCCCGCCCAAAAGCTCCTCAACTAAGTTCTTCATCCAACCAGCCAATCCATCAATTGAACAATCCACTTGTTGAATTGATCCATCAAATCTACTCAAGTTGCAGCCAGCCGTGGCCAAAAGCTGACCCCCTTAAACTAAAACACAACTGACTGATTAATCTGCATCTAGCAAGAGCAAAGTACATCTGCGAGGATTAGCACTACTCCAGGAAAATAAGCCCGGCCAACAAGAGCAAGAGCAACCCACTCATCTCAGAGTGGTATGTCCGAACAATTACCTACCCATGATACATAAATATCACGCATCATATTCTGCAGCCATAAGAGTCGTATCACTCCTCATTCGAACCAATATAGAGAACGAGCGACAGACAATGGAAGAGATCGAGAAAAGAAACTACCATGCCTTAGTTGCCGAAGGAAGAAGTTGCAAGATGAAGCGTGTGCCCACTCTGTAGTGTCGAGCAGTAGGAAAGAAGAGGAAAGAGAAGAGGCCGCATCGAGGGCAAACCTGGACCAAGTCGAAGCCGAAGAGGAGAAAGCACGAAGTTGTGCTCGCGTGCATGCAGAGGAAGAGAAGGAAGAAGGAGGCAGTGGCGGTGTGCTCTGGGTTGAGTCGAAGTCAAGGGGGTGCGACCTTCAACGTTGTGCTCGCATAGCAAAGGAAGGAAAGTCAAGTCCTAGTCAAATGGCTTTGGCATTGTGCTTGCTTAGACGAAGAGGAAAGAGGATGTTTGTGAGCCTTGCGTGTAACAAGAAGGCTCCCTGCTAC